ACACAGATAAACACTTCATCTCAAGAAAAGTTAATCATGGGTAAGATATTAAAAACAGGTGAGCCTCTATGACATATACACATTCTGAATTATTCTGTATGCTTGGAATTTAGAAGTTTGCCATTTATGAGGAGTAAGCACAAATACGTATGTGTATTTATACAGGGGGAGTTGAAAGAGGAAGGGCTATACAAAGCACGTTAACTATTGATATAGCTAAGCGAAAGGCTTGTGAGTGCTCTCTGGACAATACACTTTAACTGCTCTGGCGATGGAAACTTTAGAAGGTGGGGGCGGGATTTTTTTAACAAGAATGAGGCTTCATCACTACATGATTAAAATCTATTTCACTGATTGTGCTCATTAACGATGGGGTGTGAAAGGCAAAGGAGCAATGGATGAGCAGGCAATAGTTTGTAAACTGCACGGTGGGTAGTTCAAACCCACAGTCAGCTCCAAGGGAGAAGGATGAGGCGGACTGCACCCATAGTTCCACAGCCTCAGAAATCCTAAGGAACAGTTCTCCTCTGTCCTGTCCTGTTTTCAATGGAGATGCAAAATATCACAGGGCCCAGACTTCACGGCCCATGTTTACATGCCCCTGTTCACTTACTCGCGGGGAGTAAGTTTAAGGCTTCTTACCACACCTATTGCCTTTGAATCCATTCCAGAGTGATCCCTGGAGGACAGAGCAAAACTGCCCCAGAAGGGTTTCAAGGTTGTAATCTTCAGGGCAGGGTAAGTCATGGGAGTCTAACCAGAAGGTTAACTGTTCAAAACCACCAGTCACTGCACAAGAGAGAGACGAAGACTGTCTGCCCCTGTGGAGGTCTTGGGAAGCCTTTCCGAGCAGCTCTGTCAGTGGGAGCTGAGTCAGAATCGACTGCAAAGCAGTGGTGTGGACTTGCTCTACAGAGGCAGGGCCGCTGCTTTGTGCCCCAGAGCACTGGGGGGACCCAGGTGGTGGTTGGCAGCCAGTGCTGCCCCGCTGCCCCAGCAGGGCTGCTTCTTTACGCGTCCTCGACATCCCCTGGCTCAGGGTAAAGCAGTGTCAAACCCCAACATCTGATCTCGAAAACCACAGGCCCTCCTTGCTAGCCACGGGCAAAATCATCTCAACAGCATCAAAGGAAAACAGCAACCTTGCCCCACTCTTCTAAATGAGGCGTCCTTCCTAGAGCTCTCGAGAGCAATCCTGGAAAGTGCTATTTCTGATCAGTAATTCCAAAGACACGCAGAGTTAGCAACTGTTGTTATAGCTGATGAAAAAGACCTCTAACGTTTACAAAGTCTGTGATTCCAATGAGATATAATCCTTAATAACATGCCCCGCTGGAAATGATATTTAACTTGGCATCTTTTTTCTGGAAAGAATAAATACTTGTAAGGAGTTTTATCTTCATTTCATTTCCTTATTCTTTATGCATAGGAATAAAATATAGAAGCATTCCATACCATTGGCTTTTAATATGCTTTTCTGAGAGTCTTGCTCATTTAAATGAACACAGGGAGTGTTGGGCCATTTTGGCATTAAAAATTACAGTGGGAGGACAACCGAAAAGGGATGAAGGGAGACGTCGGACAG